ACGCGAAGGTCGTGAGTTCGATCCTCCCATGGGCCAATTCTTTTTTTCTTATTCGATTGACGAGTATTGGTGTTTCTTATTTAATTTATGTATTTTTTTCAAATATTATACACAAAAAAATTATAATTTGAACTTCTTTCATTGAAAAAACGTTACAAACGTTAGTTTGTGATTCATTCTGCAACCAAAATCGAGAAATCTAAATTGAATAACGAAAAACGTCATGATTTCAACATATTTAAAAGTATTTCAATTTTCCAATTAGAATTGAATTGAGTGAATTGAAAAAAACTTCCATAAATTAAACTACAAAATCAAACCATGGTCTTTGCATCAAACAGAAAACTTGTGAAAACATATAAAAACAGTAAAATTACCATCTTTAAAAAAAGAAAGAAAAAAAAATTATTCGAGAATTTCAAAAGAATTTATAGCCAATGTGTTTTCATCCTATAAGAATGAAATAAAATATAAAAAAAGAATTGGCCCATGGGAGGATCGAACTCACGACCTTCGCGTTATTAGCACGACGCTCTAACCAGCTGAGCTAATGGGCCTACGGATTTTAGTCTGTCGAGTTACGGAAATCAGATCAAAGCCATCTTAAAACTATTTTTTATCCGGTCGCAATGCCAATATCAATTTTCTGGGTTCATTAAAGGCGACTTACTGGATGGCTCGACCTGAATTTTTAATAATCATCCACATATTCATATTATCTCAAATAATTTTAAACTAACATGTCATAAAATAATAATAATGATATTCTTAACCCTCTAATGCATTAATTTTTCCCAGGGTTGGGAGTACTGGTACTTGGTTGATTTTTGGCCATAGATAATTCAAAATATATTCATAATCCTGGATTCCTCATGGTTTAGTCAGGAAATGCGATTGACGTAAATCAGAGAACAATCAAATCTATTGTTTAAAAGTGTCAAAAATGTGTCTAATTTGAAGTTCGAATAATTAATTTTGTCAAATTTTTGTTCTTGCACACATTTTTGTTTATAACTTTACAATCACACTACATAGACAAATATTGCCAAAGACAAAAATAAAGAGAGAACATTGACGAATAAAAATTCTTTTTGAAGCAATGTGATCCGATGTACGGTTTACGTTCTACAGGCGTTCAAATGTTGCCCGTCTAGAGGCGGTTGTATGCATTAGAGGGTTAAAATAAACTTACAATCCAATTTCAATTAATTACCAAAAAGTAGATAGCCTTTAGGCCCATTTTTTTTAAATGAAATTCTTTCATTTCTAACAAATCTTGATTTGATCGAACCACATCGATTTCTTTGTTCAATCTACGTAGCAAGAGTTCTTGCCTGGTTGTTGTCGCAATGAAAAGCGAATTGAGTGATCAAGAACAGAAAATGTGAAAAAATGAAATTCTGCAAAATATAAGCCCATGGAAGGATCAAATGAAACATTCATGGGTCCTGATTTTCTTTTTCTTATCAATTTTAAATTAACGAAATTGTGAACGATTTTTTTTGTATAAACATAAGGAAGGTATGGCGTAGGAAAAAAGAATTGGCCCATGGGAGGATCGAACTCACGACCTTCGCGTTATTAGCACGACGCTCTAACCAGCTGAGCTAATGGGCCCACGGATTTTGTTCTGCCGAGTTGCACAGATCCATAGCGGTGCAACGATAATACTACGCGCCCTAACTACATTATGCAAACTACATGACGTAGATCACTACGCGCCCCGGCACGTTTGTATGGGCAGTGCACCGCTATGCACAGATCAGACCCAAGAAGATCCAAAGTCCATGACAAATCCAAAGATACATGTTACTACTCTTTCTCTAATATAGTTCGATCATCTGTTTACTGTTATCATACAACGAACGTCACCATTATACAATTTCTATGTGGAATTCCGCTTAGTGATAGTGAAGTTCATTGTGAATGAATTTTTTTACACAACGACAAATTCGAATTCACTTTGGAGAAATTCTACAATTAAAGATATTGGATTAAACAAATATTTTGTTGTTTTTGTTTTAAAATTATATCGAAAACATTCAATTTTGAATCAAAAAAACGAAAGAAAAAAGAAGAAAAGTGCTAAAGAACATTATTTCAAAATACCGTAATATTTTCTAATACCCAAGTTCTTCACATATTAATTCGCTCATGTAATAGCTTAGCACCGCCACATTTTACAAAAAAAAAACTCCAACATCAACTCAGAATGAATCCATTCAGTTTTATTGTCTGCCTTAGATACGTACTAAAAAGCTCTTTAGCAACGTCAGACAGTGGTCTCAGGTGTCGTTGTGAAAATTCAATGCGATTTGATTATTACAGTATCATGCGACACATGGGATTTTTGTCAAGAGCTTGTATGCCACTCTCTTTGATTGTCGAATAACACAAACGAAATCGCTTTAAACGTGGTGAAAGCGTGGCAATCCTTCGTTTTTATACTTTTTTGTGCACATTTTAATCGATTTTTCGATTCATTTCAATGTTTCTGTTTCCAAAGGCTCCATTCAAAAGCTTCTTACACACCCAAACAACAGTGATGAAAACAAATTGAAGATAACAACGATGAAAGCGACTTTGAACCCATACGTTTATGAATGAAATACAATGAATGAAAAAAGACTGATGTCAAAACCTTTTCAAAAAATTTCAAGTAATTTTTCTCAAAACCCATTTCAAATCACCCGTTTTCACGCCATTCAAGTAAAATACAAAAATTCGATCATTTTTTTTCACGTTATTCACAATTTATTGAGATATTTTCAAAATATTATTTTGTACAACCACGAATAAAAATACCAATCTTAAACCGAATACCACAGAAATAAGCGGATGCACTGGAGAAAAACAAAATGGAAAAATTGTCATCAAAATATATAAAATAAACTAAATTAATTTTCACATGAAATGAAAAATCAATGGAAAAGTTAGAAATTGATGCGGATTGGTGTGTGTTTATGTTTCTAGCACATGATTAAGATAGGCGATGTAACAAATGGCCAATTTGAGTATTTCAATTTTCGATAGTTTTTTATCCGGCGGCAATGTGGGTAGCAATTTTCGAAGCTCAGTGAATGCAACGTTAAATGCTTCGACACGGATTCGTTCGCGTGTTGCATGTGCCGTACGGTATTTTTGTGTTGCTCGCCGTCGGCGACGTCGTTCTTCGCGTGATAGCCCAACCAAATCGGAAGGGTTCAACATGCTCTCGCTGCTGATGTTGGACGATGTATTCGGACTGGTCGTTGTAACTGTCGCTCTTCGACGCGGTGTATTCGAATGAACCATTGGAATATTTTCACACGGCAAACCCAAGTATGTCTCACGCGAAATTGCTATGCTATTGTCATACGGAGCAATGTGATCTATGTCATAAACCATCTCGGATTCCTGCCAAATAGAAAAGAAATTCATTCGATTA